CCCCAAAACCCCAAAACCCCAAAACCCCAAAACCCCAAAATTCAATTTGAAGATTGATAATATTAAATCATATTTGCAAATGCCAAGAACTAGCAAGACTGCCTCAAAAGATCAAATTAAAGAGACATTTCAAATTCCTCCTGTAAGACCTTCATCTAAGCCCAAAACCCTAAAATTTTGCTCTAAAATCCTTAAAAACCTCTAACATTTTTCACTGAAAGTCTAATTTTCTAGAGGGTCAAGAAGAAGAGACATACTAAAGAGAAAGCACAAGAAGGTAAAACTAACAAGAGGAGAAAGACTCGTGAAGGATCTTCCACAAGAAAAGCTCAAGTAGTCTCCAGTGATTCTGAAGAAAAGACCAAGAGTAGAGGTAAGCCACCTTCTAATAACTCCATAGGCAAAAGAAGGAAGAGAACTGAGCAAGAGAAAAAGATAAGACAACAGAAAAGAGCTGTCAATTGTGTCAGACTTAAGAAATATTATGAAAATAAAGAATCTAAGGAAAAGAAGCAAGAGCCAATACAGGACGGTGCTAAGCAGACTGAGAACTCCCCAGAAGTGCCACTAGATAGAGTCCAGAAGGCTGAGAAGACTAGAGTGAAAAATGCCATTAAGCCTGAAAGAGAAGAGAAGAAAGGTGTAGAAGAGACTGAGAAAGGTGAAGAAGCTACTAAGAAAGATCAGTCAAAAATAACTCATGAAGACCTTCCAATTCTTAGGGTTAGTCTTGAGAACGTCAAGTACAATGTGAAATCTGAGAACCATTCTTCACAAAGCAAGAATAGTAACGCTGAAGAGAAGGATTTAAACTTGGTGAAATTTGATAAATCCTTGGATAAAGCAGATGCCTTCCTCCTTAAGATGGACGATGACTTGGAAACAATTCCTCATAACAGTGATGATGAAGACTCATGAGTCACTCTACTGGGTGACGTTTGTGAGAATGAGAGATCTGAACTAGCGTTTCTTCGTAATCTGATAGAGGAGGTAAAGACAAAATATGGATTCTTAGTGAAGTCAGATAGATATCAAGATTTTTTGGAGTATTTGGATGAGAAATTCTCATTCTCACCTTCTACAAAAGGAAAAATAGGAGAATCTTTTAACGCAATGAAGCCGATCAACCTTTGTGTGTCCAAGCTAGAAACTTACTTTTGCATAATGAATTTTAGACTTGACAACGAAAGTATAATCCATTTCTCATTCAAGATTAAGAAGAATCCTCCAGAGTAAAACATATATAATCTCTAAACAATTCTCTATCAATTCCATGAAAACTCAAGGGGTTTTGGGGTTTTGGGGTTTTGGGGTTTTGGGG